AGAGAGCACAACCTGACTCCTTACCAGTGTGAGAAAGTAACTGAGATTTATTGGTGTCCCAGGGAGGGGGTATACTAATGCAGCCCTTTTGTACTGTTTTGACAGATGCAAGTGAATTCACCAACTAGCTTCAAATTTGTGTCAAAGGATAAGGAAGGCCTGGCCTGTGCATTTCCATCTAACAAAGAGTAATTTCTAAAAGAATGTTTTAAACAGTTCTAAAGGTTTACGGTGCCAGGTACTGGAACTAATATCTAACTTATCTGTCATGCTACAATTATTTTGGAGAAAGTCCTCTGGTAAAATACTCCTCCAGTCAAACCAATATTATCTTCTCAGACAGCTGTTACTTTGCAAAATGATATTTTGTTGGATTTTTTTGGTAGGTAGCTTCAGATTACCTTAATTATAAATTAATGCTCAAGAGCTTTGGGTTTGGTTAATGACCACCCTCATGAGATTGATGAGGGATTGTCTGGTTTTGTGTTTTATGTTTGCTTTCCAGAGTGTTCCTGGAGCCTGCACTTAGCCCTAGCTGTAATCCCCATGGATTTAAATGATTTAGGATTCAGTTATACCTTTAGACCATATGCTCTCTAATAGAAGTTAGGGAATATTTTCTTGTCTGTCTTCCAGGCTAAATGCCGCGATACTTTTGGTTAACATCTCTTAATTACGGAATTTGCTTCCTTTGGACCACCATAAGAAGAAATTAGCAATATTGTTTTTTTTTAAAAGGATACTGTCTGGAATACTGTTTGTGGTAGTGATATTTCTTAGGGTTCATAGGTGCGTTTTACTGCCTGTGCTTGCTCAGCAAAGAGAGGGGTTAGAAAGATGAGGCAGAAACAAAGGATTTGTGTTGTGTTTGGGTTGTTTGTTTTTTTTTAATACATACAATCTGAAAAACGTAGTGTATTAAATAAATTAAATGAATGCAGTGTGCATTTTCTGCCCAGCTAACCTGCTACTACTCATCTAGTAGGAGACCATGTTTACCACTTTTTTTTTTTTTCCTAGAAATGAAATAGGAATAAATATGTTAAGCCTCAAGTCCAGTTTGTAGCTTGTTAAGAATGAATTTTTCTCTCTTGCTTTTAGTTGAAGCATCTTGTCATAATGGAGATGAAACAATGGAAACAATCGAGGCTGCTGAAGCACTTCTCAATATGGACTCCCCTGGTCCTATGCTGGATGAAAAAAGAATAAGTAAGTTTTCTATGAAAGGAAATGCAATCTGTATTTGCCTTGTTTATTTGTGAAAAAAGGAGGAATTTAGTGCAGCAAGGTTGCATGGAATTGGTAAGCTTATTTTGATTCCAGTTAGCCTTTTTGTACATAGTTTGGACATCGGAAATCCAGTGTTGTATGCAATGAAGGATTTCATTGCCACACCAGAGTTGAACAGGTGAGGAAAGAATCAAAAACTACAGACAGAAGGTATGAATGAAGTCAGGTGGTTTAGATTGCAGTGTTTTGTTTTGGTTTGCTGATAGAGGATTAGCCTGTTTATGTTGCCGTAAATACAAATAAATGCAAATTGCCTTAAATATGAATAAAAACGTATGATCACAAACTAATTGTGCTTTTTGGGTGAGTGGGTTATACCGTTAAATTGTTCTATTTTAATAGTGCTTCTGCTTGTGTAAAATGCTATCGGTGCATAAGTTCCATTATGAACTAGTCTTCCCTCCCACGAAGGCCTTAAGTTTTCATAGTTTTATTTTATTCTATGTTTATTTTTTTGCTGTAAAAGAATAGCTTTTTAAAAGTCCTTGTGGCTGTGTGAAAATACTCCTGTTGTCCCTTTCCCTCAAGCAACTATGTTTGGCACAACTGAAGATGATGATATGGTGGCTCCTATTACACACGTGTCAGTCACACTTGATGGGATCCCTGAGGTGGTGGAAGTTCACCAAGCTCCAGACCGTTACGCTGAATCACCAGAGACTCCAGAATTTGAACAACCGAAGAAGAAAAAAGGTAAGATGCCTCTGGAGAGCAGTGGTGTGGAGTAGGAGAGAAGTGGGTGACATGCTCGCCTTCCCTGTGGGTGTCTGGAACTGTTCTGGGTGTCAGGTCAAAATAACTGCGTGGGCTCAGCTAGAAATACAGAGAAAGCATTTTCGTACTGGGTAGTGTGAGCTGCTTAGATATTGATGATGTTGGAGAGGTAGCAATGATGGCGTATCCAACGGGAACATGAATCTCGGCTTGTACCTATTTATCGATTCTTCTTCAGAATAGAATTGCAATACAAGCTATAGAGCTTTTCTTACTACTTTAGTTAGCTCTTATTTAGCTTCAACTAAAGATACTTGATCTGTTCAGAATACCAGATGAGAATGAGGAGGGTTTTTTAGCTTTTCTTAAATACAAACGGTTGAAGTATTTTTTTTCTTTAAATAGCTGCGTGCTATACTAAGCGTTAGTCCCATTTGCAGGAGGTAACATTTACACAGCGTCCACTGAGTGATGTTCCATTGGAGTCGGTGCTGTGCCAAAGAGTAATGAAGGGGTGTTAGTCAGACCTTCTGCTCCTTTTTTCCCACCCTGCTTTAGCATGGACCCCATCAGAGGTCCTGAAGCTGACGTCTGCAGTGGAAAAGTCATGCAGTGCAGGCGGATGTAAGGTGCTGTTGCAACAAATTTAAAAAAAAAAAAAAAAATAAAAATAAACAAAGAGAGTTATGTTTCTGGAATTAATCCTAGGGCTGAATCAGAGCGTTAGGATTTTGACAAGTCCCCCTGTGAAATAAAAGCCTTCCAGAACAGGGCTCCTGCTACTTTTTTTTTGAATGAGAGTGCGATTTTGCTGCTACTTTTGCCGCTAATTCCAAATGTTGGGAGTCGTTATCTGTGAGAGAGAGCGTATCAGCCTGTGGAGATCTTGGGGAAGCCTCCTGAGCCGCATGTGTGTCATAAGGTCTGGTAGGGATGGGCGTGGGTCTGGAAGTCTCCAATTCCTGTAAGAAAGCTGAACTGAAACCACTGTGGAGGAGAGCTTTACCAGCAGCTGCCCTGAGAGTGCTGCTGGGGAAACTACCGTGCTCTGCGCCCTACTGTGAGATAACCAACTGTAAGAGGATTTTAAACTGGTTTTTTTTGGGTTTTGTTCTTTTCTTTTCTTCTTCTTTTTAATGCTGGCTGCTATATGGGTCAAAACAAGGAGCCGCTGTCTGCCAGACATTTAACCTCTTTGGCTTGATGCTTTCCTACCCTCTTTTGTGTTGTGCTTCTGCTTACTCCCACTCCTTCCTCCTCCCTAGCTGTAGATTAGAAAACCAGTTGCTTCATAGCAAATGTGTGTGTTTCATTTTGGCAGTTAGATCGGACAGAAGAAATACTAGAAAAGATGCATCAGCTTAGTATTTCATTAACTACTAGTTTTCACCGGAGTTGAGACTCCATGAGGTAGATGGTATGGTCTGAGTGATGTTGAAGTGTTACTTCAAAATGTCCAGGGATTTGTAACCATTGGTGTACAACAATTCCTGCAAAAAGTTATTAATTTTGTAGCGCACTTTAGGATGATGTGCAGCGTGGGTGTTCTTTGGTTTTTGGTTGTGTTTGGTGGTTTGTTTTTTTTATTTTATTGGGTTTTTGTTAATTATGTTTTTTTTAAGTGCAATCTGTTTCCCTTCCTTTGGTCAGTTTTGTGGTACAGCAAAGGACCGTGGTCATTTTGCCCTATCCATACCACTCATGATTTTATAAACTTCTAGCGTATATAACCCATCAGCTAAACTTACAGGGTTGTGTTGTGCAGAGCATTGCCAGCTAACTCAGCCAGAATGGCACTGCCAAGTAGAGCTCCTCCAAGAGAAGTGATGGGGCGATTTCACTTCCTTTCCTTCTGGGCCATACTGCTGCAGCACCACTCATCTGTCCAACTCCAAACCTGTGTTCAGCATAACATTTGTACTCATGAATGTCTGAGCACTGAGCTGCTGAACTGTGGATCAGAAAGACAGGAAAAATGAAGGGATGTCAGAGAAGGACACTTAGAAATTTGCTCTACTAATACCTTCAGTCCCGTTTTTGCTATGGGAGGTATCCGGCGGCTTGTGGTCACATGAGTTACATACACGTTATATTTTAGATACATCCTGTTTACTACGTTTTTACATACATTGTATTTTTTTAAACAAAAGTCACTGAAAACAGTGCAAGAAAATGTATTGGAATTTTTCTGGTGTGGTATAAAATACTCAATCAGGACAAGCATATCACTGTTCTAAATATCACATTAATTTGTAGCATGAATTTCTAACCTGAAGTGTTTTTGCAACCATGGAAATAGGAAATACCAACTATAAATTCAATTAGCTATACAAAATTATGGTAGCCCCACATCAGGCTTAGCTCTTGCACATTCTTCACCCTTTCTCTTTGTAAAATTCTCTCCTAAAAAGGAATTTGGTGATATACTCTGAAAGGTAACAAATTCATGCTCTATTGAACCAAAGGAGGAAGCGTGCTAATGCTTAATGTGCTTTCAGAAAATGTCTTCTTTTAAACCAAAGGAAACATATCTTGTGTGTCTGTTAACTGTGTTTTTGATGGTATCAGTCAGCGCCTGGAGATTATAGCTCACAGTGTAGTCTAAAACTATCATCTTCAGTATCTCTAGCCCAGATACAGAGTAGTAACATCAATACCTTTCCGTAAACAAGTTTCACAGTCTTCACTGATGTCCAATTTTGGATGGGTCTCTTCCTGGTACAGGATTGTCCAAATAGGATGTCCTGAAGTAGTCTAGGCTGATGTAAGAGACCCCAGAATTGCTGTAGCGGTAGCATTCATATTTAGTAGCCTAGGTTATCCCTAATCAGAAGTGCATAAATTATACGTGAGTGGTACTTCCATCTCCTGAAGCTGACCAGCAGTAGTTATGACCTAATTGAGCCGTCATTCACTTCATTTCCTTTTAAGACCTGATCTAATTTGGACACAAGGTAATTAATGACATCAAAATAACACTCCTCACTCCTTAATGGTGTACATTTACGCCTGTACAAGAGGGGAAACAAGATGAGCGCCCAACAGAGTCTTCCCATGACACAACTCTAAAGAAGAAAAGCACTTAGCCAAAGTTACCCTGAGGGACTGCTTGTGCAGTAGAAGCTGATCTATACAAAAGTGACTTCATTAGACATGTTTAGGGAAAACATTTCTGCAACCAATAATGGTGAGTGGAACAAAGCTGCTAAAAATGTACTCCAGTAGTTCTTTGTCCTTTCATATGATGACATATGAAAAAATCAGTATTGTAGGATTTCCTCCCTCCCATCTTCATTCAAATCAAGGAAGACATTACTGGCCAAGATGATGGCTGAACTTTGTGTCTCATCCTCAGTCATGAATCTTGTCTGAATGGAAGCAAGAAAATTAGCGGACTCCAGGCTATACTAGAATTTCCTCACTGTAGCTTTGTCAACTAGCTACCCCTCATCCCCCATGCCCTGTCAAAAAAAGAGAGAGAGAAGGAAAGAGGTGCCAAGGTAGACTTAGCAAGACTGCTGATGTCAACAGGTGAGTGCTCAAGCCAGTGTTTCTTATGACTTCTTTGTAGATACCTGGAAGTCTAGAACAAAGGAGACAGCACAGGCTGGCACTGGGCATTTTTTTTCAGAGCTAGTGAAAAACCCTTACTCTTACTCTGTAGCAGAGCTATTTCCTTACTAAAACAGCCCCTAAAAACAAAACCAAAAGTGGAACATCATAGTGTATGGGATTGCACAGGCCTATTGGTCTTGCCTCCTTAGAACTTAAACTCTTTGGAAGTGCAATAAACAGAGAAGGAAGAAAAGCATTTGGACTAGAAATACGTATTTCAGAGTCCTGTGTCTGCTTGGTCTATTCTGCCTCTCAAAAGAGCGAAGGTAATACATGAATAATTTAGGTATCGCCAATTTACTAAGGGCTCACTGCAAAACATAAGAGAAATTTTTATTTCATCAGAAAGTTCTGAGGGTTGTTGATTAAGTACATTAGCTATAAAAGCTGCCATTGCAGGGCATGAGAACTAATAAAGGAAAAGGTTCAAGGTTTTATATTGAAAAATACTTAAGCATGACTTGTATTTTTTACTCAGCTTATGTTTAGGTGGTTGATTTCTCAACATTTTCAAGTGAATGCTCTTCATTCTTGTCATCGGTTGTAACTAACTTACTCCTTTCAGTCTTCCTCACCAGATAGAGCCACCAGTGCTTATTGACTTTAAAAATTGGTGTTTTTTCAGGGTCTGTTACTAGTTCTGCTGGTCTTAACAAACAAGTGACTTTCCTCCACCTATAGCCACTGTTGAGAAAGGTGTAAAAGACAGTAGGACTGAAAAGTATTTTCTTCACATGACAGTGTAGTTTGCTGCTGTCAGTGGAGACTTCCAATCTTCCAAACACACAATCTTATTTTATCCCTAAATTCCATTTTGGTGATGAGTGAACAAGATAGTGCTCTGTATTTTATCTAGCTTTTCCTGTTTAAACTCTTGCCCACAGTTAATAGCTTATTCTTCTCTTCTCATCCATTTTAAGTACTCTCAAAGGTACCTAAAAAGTCAGAAGTTTCTGAGGTACATGGACTTCAGAACAATGAGCGTAATGTTTAGTCGAAATAAAGAGCATAGGGGGTCCAGTCCTGCTGTAGAAATTGAAAAAGGTCAGCATAGAACTGAGCTCCTAACTTACTAGAAATTGAATCCTCTCCGAATTGGGGAAACAAATCTCTTCCCTTTTTAGGTCCTTGTTCTTTTACATTTCCTTTTTTTAAGTTGCAGTTGACTTACTGGTGTTTTTTTTCAGGGAAGAAGCCGAAACCATCTCGTCCTGAGTCCCCTACCACAACTCCAAACATATCTGTGAAAAAGAAAAACAAAGATGGAAAGGGTAAGTCAAAAAGTTGTCGCTGAAGTTTTTAAAAGAACATTGTTTCTGAGCTGTAAAAAGAACAAAATTCACTAGTACTCTTGTAATGTGAAACCAGGTCTCATGCTTAGGGGTGGTTAACATCTCATCTTAATGCAAATAAAAAATTAAGACACAGATTTCTTGGTGAAATACCCAGTTTCTAGGGAGAATAATGTATTTGTCACTTCAGTTCTCTCCAAGGGTTCTTGGAAACTCCTCAACCCCCCACAGAGGCTGCTGCATTTTGAGTGAAGTCTTGGGGAGCACTTTGCATTGTATTAGTGTTTCTTGGGCTGTGGTTATTTTGACAGATGATCGTTGAAAATGTTTTCCATCTGTGTGTATCTAATTCTGCATGAGGAGCTAATCAAGGCTGCCAGTTGGCAGCAGGAAGCATCAAGCCCTGAGTTTTGAGGAAAGTCATAGTGCAGCTTGAAGACTTGGGCAGAAACCTTGGGGGTTTGATACTTCTTTCATTCTTCCTGTGTTTGAAAGGAGGAAAGAAAATAAATACCGCATAATTGATACAATAAATCGTTTCCTCCATACTGAACTGTTGAGCAGGGCCTGTCAGTTTTTGTCAACAACTCAGTTGCTTTGCTGTTGGGTCCAGCACCCACACCTGTGCCCAGGCTGGCTTTCAGTGGCAGCCTGATGCCCTGGCCCCCACCGAGTTCTGCTGCGCTCAGAGGGAGCTGGAAATGAGCCTCCCCTGTGTCACCACATGCCTAGGGACTGATGTGCTTGCGTGTGTGCAGTACTTGCCAGGACGGAAGCCTAGCCAAACCTGGAAGGTGGTGGCATAAGGCTGTCAGACTCTGGAAAAATTGCCACACTGACAAATGAGTATGGGGTTTTTCCTTTTGAAGAGGGATTTTCTGCAATAGCGGGAAAAGTAACACATTGGCAAGCAATTAATACTTAACAGGTTAATGGCAGCAATTTTGAGTATGCGTTGTTGCCTTTTTTTTTTTTTTTTAATTAAAACCCGATTTTTAAGTAAAAATGAAAGAAAAATGTCAGAGGAACCTCCAAGTAGTGCTCAAATGAACTACTAGACAATATTAAAGCAGCTAGCCACAAAATTAAAAGACAAAAGAGTCTAATGTTTCTGCCAGTGATAGCAAGGATACACCATATTTCACATGTGTCCATTGTTACAAAATTGCTAATTCAGAAGGAATTAAAAAGGAGCGTGTTGCCTGAAACCACTGCCTGTTACCAAAAAAGCTGCAACAAAAGCAGTTGTTTTGCATTTTGAGGAACATAGAGTTGAAGTAAAAGGGATATTAATATAACCAGCCATGGCAGGAAAGCAGCTAGAAAATCATGAGAGTTGCCTGTCTCTCAGTATCCACAGCGTTTCCCTAAGGGGACCATGTATGCTAAAATACCAAACCCTCCATATAGTTTTTTGATGTGATGCATGGAGAAAACAGAGTTTTCTACTTATTTCTTCTTCTGCTGTGACTCAGAGAAGGTTAACAGTTCTGCCTGTGAGTAAAGCAGACAAGATTTTCGCGTCCAGTCCTCTTCTCAGTGATTTTCAGTGGATAAACAGTGACAAATTTTCAGATTTCCTTGATGCAGCTGAGCATTTTTAGTCTAGACTAGAACAGGAGCACCCTGGATTAGATGGTAAGTGGCTGGGAATGCTCTCGCTCCTGGTTGACATTGCGCCTTGCCTAAGCAATCTTAACCTTTGCCTTCAGTGTATCTGAAGGCAAACAGGCAGATCGTTTTATGTGAGCTGGGAGACACTTGTTGCAAAGGCAGTGTTTTTTTCTTTAGGGATTCTCACTTTTCAAGTTTCCATCTGCTGAAGGAGCTGCTGACTTTTTGTACTGCCAGTGCTGATGACTTCGCTGAATATTTGCAAAATATAGATTTTAATACAGTAGTATGGGAGTTTTAATTTAATTATAGTTGTATGAGAGTTCAACAAGACACCTCCTCTTGTTGAATAAAGTTCAGACTAGTGTTATTAAAGTTGAAAAAACTGCCAGGTTAAATTGAAGCTAACAAGGGATCTTGTCACCTTCTGATGCACTGGGCATCATTTTTGGTGAAATCTGCACACGCTGTCCTTGCTGTGGTTTTGCCCGGCTACTTGTGGGAGGTGATACATACATACAGAGAAGTTTTTCCATCCTTTCTCAGACTAACAACATATGTTATCTGCAGCTTCAAGAACATGAGACACCGAAAGACTTGAAAAAAGCAGGAAAAAGGGTCTCGTTACTTATACGTGTTTAGACTCCTTAAATGTACTTTCAGAAAAAAGAATATGCAAATTTTGTAGTACTTTTAAGTATTCACATAAAATGGTTTTAATACTGTTTCTTTATATGTGATAAACACCGAGCAGAGCGATGGTTTTGCATAATTGAGTGTTTGTGTCTGCTTGTTTGTGAAATGAAATTTGAATGTTGTCTACCAGCAAGTGCAAGCACTCACTGGATTTTAAAAAAAAAAATCTTTTTCTGAACTTTATTCTTGAAGGTTTGCCTACCTCAACATGTGCTCCATCTAAATCTAATTGTTAAAAATAAGGATTTTGTTTAGCCTTTTCATAGAATGGTTTGGGTCAGAAGTGACCTTAAAGATCATCTTGTTCCTGCTATGATGCTGTTTAATATATTCATAAGTGATTTGGATGTTGGGATCAAGAGCACCTTGATGAAGTTTTCAGATGACACCAAAATGAGTGGGGTAATTGATACTCCAGAAGGGAGAGCCACCCTCCA